TGGACAAATATGTTTTCAGTTGTTTAATCTTCGCACATGGAACAATGCAGAATTCCTTTCATAGCTAGGCAAGATAAGGAGCATTAATTTAGCAGATAATTTTAAACCAATGGTCATTTTTCCTCAGATGGAAACAGTCTGTTTGACTCCATGGCCAGCGGGATGAGGCTCATCGTCAGCTGCATCTCGTCCTTCCTCATCCTCTCCCTGCTTCTCTTCATGGTGCACAGACTCCGTCAGCGGAGGCGTGAACGCATCGAAACTTTGATTGGAGGAAACTGTGAGTATTAAGCCTCTTGGACACACACACACACACACACACACACACACACACACACACACACACACACACACACACACACACACACACACAATGTTTTGAAATAGAATAATTTGGTTATGTAAGTTGAGGGTTTAAATCAACTCCAGCACACAAATCTTTATTTTATATTAATTTCAAGTGCTGCGATACACAAAGCTTTAGTTCAGAATTGATATTTCTCAAATAAGTTCCTAAAAGATTTAATGGTGTTAACCACTTTTGGGTGAACTACACAACACTCACTGCACCTGAGCTCTTTTGTAAACAGTCATTGCTCTTTTTTCAGGTTCAAGAATATCTTTCTCTGTAGAAACATTTCATCTACGTTCACTCTACAAGTCTCAGCGCTCAGATCTGATTACTTTGTTGTTTAACTGTTCACATTACTTTTTAAATTTGGCCCGTATCAGATTCCAGTGTGAACGAGTTACGGCCCTGAAGTGACCCGCATGACGAATGTCTATCTAGAGTGACATAAAAATCACATGAACTCTGTTCACACAGACGTCACATTGCAGAACATCAGACCTGTGTCACATATCACATAATGAAAGTTGTGAGGGAGTGTGAATGTAGCCGTAGTCACATACCAACTTCTTCTTTTTATGTGCTAATTGGTTAAATAGCTCATTTAAATTAAGGCTTCTCTTAAAATGCTGATTTTGTGGATGTATTGTAAAGTGCTGTTTGCCCCTGCTCTCACATTTGCTCAGTGCACCACTTTAACCTTGGAAGAAGAGTCCCGGGCTTTGACTACGGCCCAGATGCCTTTGGCACCGGCCTCACTCCTCTGCATCTGTCTGACGACGGAGAGGGAGGCGCTTTCCATTTCCAAGAGCCTCCTCCGCCATATGCAGCCTACAAATACCCCGACATCCAGCACCCTGACGACCCCCCTCCTCCATACGAAGCCTCCATCAACCCCGACAGCCTCCTCTACGTGGACCTCGGTAGGCGCTGATCCTTTTTTTATTAATGTGTCTCATCATGTACAGGCTGTTAAGCTCTTGTCTTCATTTCCTCTTTATTTTTTTTTCTCACCTTCAGGACACAGCGGGGTTTCCATGGTGCAGAGCCAGATGAACGTCATGGGAGACGGGCTCCAAGCCGATATTCCCAACGCCTCTGGCCCCGTGCCAGACTCGGCACCGTCCTCTCAGGAGAGGGAGAACTCCATAGATAGCAGCACCCTCCTGGTGGGGCCCGACACCCCGACAGATGGCCACGCCCCCGCCTCCATGCCCGCAGACTGCGTCTCTTCCCTCAGCACCGTAGTATAGGACTGTGGACGGACGGCAGGGAGCTGCATCCGGACATTACCTGCTGGTTGAGGAAGGTTGTGAGTGCGTTGTGCACCGGGAGAGGACGCAGCAGTCTGTTGTGTCGTTTTATCAAAAGGCTGAGTGCAGGGAGGAGAGTTAAAGCTTGTACAGACATATCAGAGGCAGCCTGTTTCTTTGAGGTGTGAGGATTTCCTCTTTCTGAAGACTCTTCTGCAGTTGGCCTTCTGAGTGTTTTTTTTTGTTTTGTTTTTTTCAAGACATTGGCATCTGAGGGTGCAGAGAGGACTGTTTCTGTACAGAAACCCCCCCCCCCGCGTGCATCGAGGCTGAGACGGCTGCACTAGCATCGACTGAGCAAAGCTTTTGAAACATCTCAGAGTTGGCCTGATTGGTTTAGAAGCCCTGATGTAAATATCCCCTCCCCCCCTCAGGTCCGTGCTGGTAAAAATTTGTTATACTCGCGTATCACAGTCCAGCACAAGGCAGAGAATGACAGGCGGACAGCGAAGCCAGCTATTGTTCCTTTGCATTTTTGTTCGCATCATGCTGTCGTTCAAACAGACGTGTCTGTATTAATCTGTTGCTCTCCAGCCTACAAATAACGTTCTCATCAGCCTCGTCTGTCGCGGCATGTCCCCGATCCCGATTTCTACTCGCTCATACAAATCTACTGTCCCCTGACTTTCTTATTAGTCTGATACATGAAGCTGTCTTCCAGGTTTATAGAGCATATTTGCAGCAAACGTTTTGTAATGAAGAGGTTTAACCTTGCAAGAAGGTACGGTTAGTTTCCTGCTATGGGGTTTTTAATAGGGTAATGCTGACAGAAGGCATTATGTATCAAGGAATGTTGTGGTACTGATAAATATCTGAGTTTTAGTATTGTGTTCTTTTTTTTTTGATGATAATTTATGACTGCAGGTTGTAATCTTGATTGTTTCATTGTGGGATAGACGCAGTCTGAACTCCCCACTGATCAGCGAGCGAAAGCGATGAAGCTCTTCAAGTGCATGTGTGAAGATTAGGGATGATGTCCCGTCATTTAATTTGAGGAAAATCAATTTATTTAAAAAATAACTGTTCCAATCATGAAGTTGTTTAATGATGCAGACAGTCCCATTGTTGTTACTTTATCATCAACTTTTTTCGCAGTATAGTTGTGTATTTGCTAACTGAACCATGATTAGTGACTCAAAGCTCAATGTTTTGCACGTTCAACTCTCGATTTAAATCAGGTTTTTCTTTTTGTTGTTTTTTTGGAAAGAAATTTGTCAGTTGTCACATTTGGATGCTGCCCCTCCATTCCCGATGTGTTCTCTGTGTGTGTGATTCTTCACACAATACATCTGTTATCTGAGTTAACGAGGTTGTTTTCAGCTACTGATGTAGATTATGTCACTGACTGTAGCTGTTAGCCTTTTTTTTTTTGGTGTTGATGGGCTGTTTCTGTTTTTTCTCAGTTGGATCGCGGTAAAAAAAAAAAAAAAAGTTGTAATAAAAGAAAAGTGTAAACTTGTTTAGACCCCTGTTATGATGACAATCGTTTGATTCTCTCAAGGATGAATTTTTACAATGTCTGAAGAAGTTGGATCAGAGTCGACCCACAGCCACCAGCATTCAGCGCGCTTTTGATCTGCCTCAAGAAAACCAGCTGTACATGTGTGTCCGAATGACTGTGCACGTCCGAGGGTCTCATGGTTGAATGTACTGTATGTGTAATACATTTATTTTTTGTGCTGAAGCTTATTTTCCCCATTTTTCTTTTTTTTTGTGGCTTTGACAATCCACAGTCGTCTGTCCAACAAACAAAATCTCATAAATTGTGGAAAAAAGAAACGCGTGCGTGCGTGCGTGCATGCGTGCGTGCATGTATAGGAGATGGTGTTCTGTTTTATTATTTTTATTTTTTTAATTTCAAGTTTGTTTGGTTTTATTTTTCAATCTGCTTTTTGGACCTGAAGTGCATGTTGTTGTTTTTTTTTTATCTTATGGCATGCTGAGAGATTTTTTTTCTCATTTGATGGAAACATTTTCAGCTCAACAGTCTGTTCTGTACAGTAGGTTCAAGAGGTTAAACTAGGACTGCGTATAGTTCAGTATCTCCATATGCATCAAAAAAAAAAAACTGCCCATGACCCCCAACAGCTGCATTTACACTGTAGTTTCTGTGCTAGGCTCTGGTGGTGTGACAACTCATTTTACTGGATTTGAAATATTTTATGTATAACACAACAGATGCTTCATTTCATTGTCTTTTATTTCATAGCCTTTAAATTTGAAAAGAAAATGCTTCATTTGCAGGGGGCTGGGGGCCTGGGGGGGTGCTTGTGTTTCTTTTTGAGGTAGATGTACATCTAATCAAATGCCAAATAAATTGCACCATGAAGGACGACTCATGCGTCAGTGGGTATGAACACAGCATCATGTTGAACCTCCATCAGTCACGACATTTAGCTGCTCTGTGAGTCCCTTGACTTGTCGAGGAAATCCCTCCACCAGCAGTGACCAAATGTCAAAGAGGATTAAGGTGGTGATGCTGCGGGGGGGAAATCCCCCAGCAGAGTCAGATGGAGGTTGTCGGATAAAGCCAATCCACGGCAATGAAAAGATTCAAATTATTTAAAGAAAGTGGATATAGCGCACCTCGCAGTGACTCATAAGGCAGCGGGCAGAGCAGAGATAGTGATACCCTGCTGGAAAGCACTGTCACTGAAGAAAAGAGGCTTTGTTCCCACGGGCCGAGTAGTGACAGAATCGCATGATCTATTCCTGGATGGGAGAGACGTAACACTTTTAACGGCGAGCTGCTCGGTCGAGACGAGGTTAAATTTATGAGATTGTAACAATTCTCAAAAACTCATTACATTTGTGTCTGAGAGTGAAGGAGAGATTTAATTTGTCATGTTGAGGATATTAACTGGTAATCACACTTTTATGTGCTGCATAATTACTTCAATGTCACATTTTTTAAGCTTTATTTCAGGTGCAAAACATTCAATGAAAGCATCAAATTTCAATATATATTTAGATTTTTCTCTGATTATCACCATTAAAATAAGCTACAAAGATGCAGTACTTTTACATTTAAAATAAAGAGTTTCAGAGATTGAATGTTATGTTTCCAGATTCTCTTCAAACTATGTTTTTTAAACTAAGTTTTAAGGTGGTGCTACATTATCTTTTTACAGCCTCCTTATATGAAGCCTTATATATTCTGTTCCCTTGTAATTCAGCGTGCTACACATCCTCTGACTTTCCCATGAGATGAATGGGTCTTGTTACTGGTCACTGTGCATCTATGCTGGCAGCAGCAGAGAGGAGGAGGAGGAGGAGGAGGAAGAGGGGAGGGTGGAGGGAGGTGGTGGTGGTGGTGGTGGGTTGGGGGGGTGTGAAGCTGTCCTGCATCAATGAGCCTGTTGATCAGAAAAGACCACTAGACTGGTAGTGACACGGTTCACTTATCAGACCAGGAGAATAAATAAAACTCAGCTTTCACCTCCGTTCCTACTTAAGCTGGACGTCCGCGCTGATCTTCAGTCTACCTCAGATTCTGACACCTGTCTGGATTCACCGAGCTGCGGGATCCTACAATGATTTGGACTGCTGTTCTCCTGATGGCTGTTGTTTCTCATGTTAATTCAGGTGAGGGTCCTGCTTGAGACTCTGGTCACAAAAACTATATTTGTATGTGTTGTGTTTTTGTTGCTAATAATGTAAGAGTGAAGGAAAATGGTATATGTCAACAATTTTGCTATTTTTATATTCCAGTAGACTACTGTTACAATGAGCCACATTGTGGTAAGTAACCTATTAATTACTTTTTAACCTTAACACACACTGACAGCAACTTCCATTATATTGTCTCTTATTAAAATGTGAATATCCTCATTACATAAATACATAAATATTAGCAGTACAGTATGTTCCCATCTGTCAGTGAATAATTTACCTGCCAATGGGAGGCATTATTCAACTGGAATAGATAAGATTTATACAGTTAAAGTTGTTTAAGTTGGTTATTTTTAAATTATGTAGCTGTTTTTTGTTGGTGGCAGCGTCGTCTTACAAGGTTGAATATGTCTTTGAGTCGTGAGCAAATGTTCTCTAAACCTCATAGATTGTGTCATTTGTTTAAATTAAAGGAATTTAATAAAGAAAAAAACATTTTAAATAACATTTTTATATTTATTTTTAACAAAAACATATCAACACAAGGCCCATTTAGTCGCAGTTCTGGAGCTTTTGATCGTATCATGCCACCTGCCTCAGCATGTGATATCTACTGCACAATTTCAACACAGCTGGGCAACGTGAAGATGGCGTGATCGAAAGCTCTGGAACAGCTACTAAATGGACCTTGTCAGCTACTCTCCAAGCCTCAGAATGAGCTTTCACTCCCAACTTTTAACTCTACATGACTTGAAGTCCTTAAAGTCTGTGCTTCCATAACTGGGAAGGTCATGTGATATAATCAAAAGGATTCAGACTCAATATTTTTCTTCTCTCAACCATTTTGAGGTTTTATCTTGAAACCCCACAGAGGGGTCCTGACCTACAGGTTGAGAACCACTAATGTAGATATCTCCTGTTGGTTCTTATCTGGTTCCTTCGCCATCCTCAGATACTTACGCATGGGGAGACAAGTTCCCGTCCTGTCACCCTTTACTCGAAGAGCACCACTCCCCCATAAATCTGGACCACCAGATGACCAGAAATGAGTCTCTGGGACCTTTACATCTGGAGGGCTTTGACGAGATCCAAACGGGCCACTGGACACTCTACAACGACGGGCACTCTGGTGAATATACGACGGATATTGTCACCAGCGTGTACTTTGTGTCTCTTTCTTGTGTGTGTGTCGGTGACTACATATTTCTGGTTGCTCCCAGTCGTGCTGCAGGTTGGCAGTGGCATGTCGGTGAGCGGCGGCGGTCTTCCAGATGTTTACCACACCATGCAGCTGCACTTCCACTGGGGGGGCCCGGCCACCAACGGCTCGGAGCACACGGTGGACAGACGCAGATACCCGATGGAGGTACAGTATGGTCAGTAGACAGCTCTGCACCGTCACCAAGCAGCTGCTGCAGTGGAGCCTTTCCTTTAATGTTTCTGTTTTTATTTGTTTCTAGATGCACATAGTCAACATGAAATCCATCCATCCAAATTTGTCAGTGGCCTTGGATGATCCAACGGGCCTCGCTGTTCTTGGGTTCTTCATTGATGTCAGTTTATATACATTTGTTTTCTAATATTTAAGCATTTTCAATACAAATACATCCTGATTTTGTCCCTTTTTTTTGCAGGTTGTTTACGCGGACAATGTCAACTTTGGACACATATCACAAAAACTGTCCTCTGTTGCTTACAATGGTTAGAGGACGCTCATAGAAAATTAATTCCTGCCTTTTTTTTGTGTTGCTTGTAATTCTCATCACGGCTGTGTTCCCTTCCCCAAGGCCAGATTACTAAAGTCAAGCCATTTTCGCTGATGAGCCTTCTGCCGAAGCACAACATGAGTCAGTATTACCGTTACTACGGCAGCCTCACCACCCCTCCATGTTCTCAAGCCGTTGTATGGACTCTGTATGAAGTCCCCATCTACATTTCATGGTCCCAAGTACGTCTCTTAACTCATTTTTCTTTTAAAAACACATCAGTGGTTTCCTGATGGTGTGAATAAACATGATTTTTATATTTTCTCCTCAGCTGGCCCAGTTCACCTCACAGATCTTCTCCACAGAGGAAGATGCAGAGCAGGTGACACCTCTGCAGAACAACTTCAGACACATCCACCCGACCTTCAGTCGCATCGTCTCTGTGTCCAAAGATGGCAGACTCCTCACAGGGACGGCCGGTCGTCCCCTCAGGTCAGCTGTGTCAGTGCTTCAAATCGTTTTGCTGGGAAGCTTCGTCTCCAAACTTTAGTGTTAAGTCCAAATAGTGAAACAACACAACGCCAAACAAAGATGAGTTAATGTTTTTAGATGATGTTCTCCGGTCGGAGAGGTTTTCTTGATAGAACAGATCTGTAGAAAAAGCTCTATATATATAAAAAACAAACTGTGAAGAAGAGTACTGTATAATGTTGAGTTGTTACTAAATGTCTCATGATTGTGCCCCTGCTGACTCTGCAGGATTAACTCTATTAGTGCGTTCAAGAGATGTGATAAAATATGTGTTTCCTACTAACAGTTTAGAATAATGTGAAATGAGCAACGGTAGCATTGAAATGTGTTTATGATGGCAGCCACGTACGCATTTATGACTGTAGGCCTTCTACACTCATAGAAAAGGTACAAACGTGTGTGTGTGTGTGTGTGTGTGTGTGTGTGTGTGTGTGTGTGTGTGTGTGTGTATTCATCTGACATTGGGTCAGTCAGATATTGTTTGCAACTCCACGAATATTAAAAGACAAAAGATACATTTAATATAAGACAAAGAGTCTTCAGCCATGCTAGCGGCTCTGTGAGGCTGTTAGGGGAGCGTACTTATGTTCCCCGGGTCCTATGTTCCCCGCTTTGTATGGGACCGGGGAACCCTAACCCTAACCTTAGCGGGGGAACATAGGACTCAGGGAACAGAGGGATGACCCCGCTGTTAACATTCTCACAAGGATAATGCTAACATGTTGTTGCTATGCAGATATATATATATATATATATATAGTGTATCTGTGTTCCCAGGGTCCTATGTTCCCCAGTTTTAGGGTTAGGGAACTTAGGGAACTTAGGACCCTGCGTTCACGATGTTAGTTTAGTGTGTTAGCATGCTAACATTTGGTAATTAGCATTAAGTTTGCAAGTTGTTTTGATTTTAGAAAGTTATTACCGTTGATCTTTTCATCCTGATGGGAATGTTTGAACCAAATTTCGCAACAATCCATTCAATAGTTGTCAAAATATTTCAATGAAAACCAAAAATGTCGACCTTGTGATGTCTTTTTTAAATTTTAAAGAAACCGTTTACTCTTTTTGTACAGAATACAACAAAATCAGAAGCGTCAATTTGTTATATTTTGAATAATGACAAAAAAGTAAAGGAACCACCAAAGTCAGTAGGATTTATCTTCTAGGGACCATGAATGTCTGTACCAGATTTAATGGCAAAGACATTTCAGTACAGATCAAAGTAGCAGACAAACAGACAGACAGACAGACATTGTCCTGCCGCTAGCATGGCTAAAAAGGGCACATAAGAAGTACTTGTCAAATCTATTTTATTGGATTTGGCACATCATGTTCACATCGTGTGTTTTCAGGCCTTTTTCGCTGACATTTTATGGCATAACAGGAAAAAAAAACACATAAATAATAATATTAATAAGGGCTGAAATCCATTCGGCTTCTGTTTCAGGGGTTGTGTTATTTTACATGCCGGCTCGCTGACATGAACCCTCTGATACACTGGAGTGGAACAGAGCCATTGCCAATGTCATTAGTGACACCTGTGTGTGTTTCCTGCTGTGACAAGTCAAAATGTCTGCTCATTAATGAAGGTAAAGCGGAGGTAATAGTCTGCTAATGAGCCGACCCTCCTGCATCCAACATGCTAAATATTTGTGTGTGTGTGTGTGTGTGTGTGTGTGTGTTGCATATTTGCCACCAGCTTGTAAAGTATGCACAGACGCTCCACTGAATGACTTGAAAAACAGGAAAAAGATATCAGAATATGTGGTTGAGATTTAAATGTCAGTTCACAGTTTTACTTTTGTTTTCTCTTATAATGTTTCCTGTATTCAAACAATAAACATACAAGTCACATTCTGTCACCACCGTGGTTGTTGTTTTTGAGTTGTGAGAGACATTTGCTTTTTCTCTCTGCACCGTTTCCTGTTCGATGAGGCTAGGGCTATTATTCAGAGGGCTTCAGGCAGTTGAAAATCTGTGGCTAAGGTGTGTCAGCGTCGATATGAAACGTACACACAGCCTGCAGAGGAACCTTACATTTAACTGTCTCTTTGTGCTACAATAATAAAAAAAATGAAAGATGAGCCACAAAACAAGAGAACACAGTTGGAGTGATAATGTTGGACCAATGGGATCACTCAGTGTGGAGGTGTGTGTGTGTGTGTGTGTGTGTGTGTGTGTGTGTGTGTGTGTGTGTGTGTGTTCCCTCTGTCGGTGTGCTTGAGATCATTCTCCACTCGCTCTCCCATCCTCTCTGCTTGTGATAGCACCATCCTCCTCCTGCCCTGGCCTCGACACACACACACACACACACACACACACACACACACACACACACACACACACACACACACAGCAAGGTGACGTCAGGCTGCAGCTTTTCACCGAAACTAAACACAACACCTGAGTTTAAAAAGGAAAAACATTCAGTTCAATCACATTTCGACGCAGTAAAATCCAGGTTTGTTGTCTACTTTGCACTTTTCACA